ACAAGCTCAACATCCACGTCAACCTCATCAACTTCTACAAGTTCAACGTCAACATCTACATCGACATCCACATCAACCACAACCAAAACAAGTATGTGACAAATCCTATTCTTGTTGTAAATAAAAGAGATTTCATATAATCTATTTCAGCATCAACAACATCAACATCCACATCAACATCAACGTCAACATCCACATCAACCACAAGTAAAACAAGTACGTGACAAATACTGTTCTTGTCGATAATAAAAGAAATTTCATGTAATTTATTTCAGCATCAACAACATCCACATCAACATCAAGCACAAGTACAACATCTAAAAGTGAGTAAAAGACACATAGATAAGATCTTCAATTCTTAGGAATCAAATTTATTTTATTAGAATAGTTTTTATTAAAATCAATAATTGTAAAATTTCTTATATATCCTTTCAAATTTACGTATCTCATTTTTATTGACAATAATAACTACATGAAATATTATTGATTATTTAGCTACAACAACAACATCTGTTGCACTACCATCACAATGCTTCAGTTATACATCAATTACAGATGCTACTCGACTTATGACGTATGGAGTCGCGACTAGTCAATGTGATTATTATTATTTTTTGTCCACACCAGTATGGGTTCGTTTCTCAGGTGCTGGTGGCACAATGTTAGCTAATTATTATACAAGTATATATAGATGCAATACTGATGCTCCTGGATGGTATACTGGTAGTCTTCCAGCAGTCGGTAGTACTGTTACTGGTACTGTGTGCTACTATTGGGCTAGTAATTCCTGTAATTGGTCAAATTCAGTTTCTGTAACTAACTGTAATGGTTACTATGTTTATGATCTGATAAGGCCAACCGTATGCAACTTACGATACTGTACAATGTAACAATTGTTTGCTGTTCATTTCTTTCACTTACTTTATTTTCACGATCAATTTACTTTATAGTTATTTAAGAATAATAACAAACGTCATCTTAAAAAATTCCGGTAAACAAAACTATTATTCAAAAAAAATGACATTGTCCTATAGTTTATCTGTGTGTTTGCTTTAAAACGTATTATGTGAAATTGTATATAAAAATCTTCACTATAAATAAACATAGTTAATTAAAGATAACGTTTATACTTTAAATCTAGATGTCATATACAAGAGAAATATCAACGTTTAATGTGCCGATGTGAGTGTAATGTAAATATAAGGAATGATGAATAAATACCAAACGTGATCCAACATTTACTGTAGTCTTTTTTTATTTTTTGTAAACTTTATGTCTATCGTAAAGTTCTCAAAAAGGTTTATGATTAAAAACCCTATGTAAATATTTAGTAGAAAAAATATAACAAACCATATTATTGCCTTAAAATAAGTTTATGTTTTATTTATGTGAATTGTTGTATAGTGTATCAGTGAGATTTATTAGTGTAAAAAAATAAATATCAATAATAAACCATTCTTAGTAGAAGAAAACCTCCTAGAGAGTTTAGTTAGCCGTTGAACTGTAATTATGAATGAACCAAATGAAAAAAGTATAACTCTATAGATTTTGTATCATTTTTCGACCGCCTAATAAAATAGTATTAAGTCAACAATGATTAGTGTAGATCAAAAAAAAATATTGATGTATACAACTCGAAGATCCAGTTCTTTAGTTACAATAACTTGATTTTTACTTATCTATTTCAAACAAATATGTTGAATATATTAAGACATTAAGTATGTAAAATTAATTTCTTTTTATATATAGACTATTTTCCACTAAATGACATCTTGTTAAATAATTGAAATCAAGAAAACTGTCAACGAGAGAGAAAATATTTTTATAAATAATAGTTTTGTGGATTCAGGCAGGACTAAACTAAAAGTGAAGTGAATCAAGCGGAATCGAAGAATAATTAGTTCGAATTGGATCTATAAAAATATGTCGTATTTCCATTTTTGATTCACACCCTTGAGTTTTAAACATTTGATGTTTTATCGAATCTGATCATTGTATGTCTTATCACAGAAGGAATCTTTTGAACAAGAGACACATTTATACTATAACTAATAATAACTAGAATCTGTCATTATCGTTAAATTTTATTTCTATTTTGCAATACATAAATCTTTATATAAAGATGAAAATATTAAAGAAAAACAAAACGTGAAAGGTCTTATCAGTTCAACCTTGATATAAAGAAATTTACGCTATATTACACTCCTCTTTTTTTTATTAATTACCGTTTAGTCTAACGATATTTATCAAAGAAACATTTTAAATGAACTTTTCACTGTATCAATGATAAGTCATACATTGCTCTTTTTTAACCGTTATTATAAATTATTCTTATTTTTCGTTCAACATAATTCATTTACTTCTTCTTACTATTATCATAGTAAAACTATTGATATGATTTTCTATCTTTGTATTGAGGATAAATGTTCAATAGATTTAGATTATGTATTTATTTTTCAAATTGTATTTTGTTTTTAATTATCTAAAAACATTCTTTTTTTTCGGAATTTCTATATGTATATAAAGAGATAATATCTAACTAATTAGTTATAACATGCATTGCTACGAGATACAACTAGATACAGTCTCAGATATTATAAAGAAGGCGATAGATATTGGAATGATGATAAAATGAAATGATGTTGAGAATGTAGGCGTTTAGAAAATATTGATTGTCATACTCATATTCTTTCTCTTCAGTATTTCGAGCAAATATTGTTAAATACTACATGAACTAATAATATTTACTATCGTTCTCTCAAAAATAGTTAAAAGGAAGTAATACATTAGTTAAATATTTTTATTGATTCTTCCTTTATATCTGAAGTATGTTGAATGACATCCATTAGATCTAATATTGAGATGAATAGTCTTTCATTTACATATACATACATGTGACACATTATTCAAAACAAAGAATATTATTAGAGACCATAGCTCTTTCCCTCTCTCTTTCATTGTCAAATGTCATCGAGTACAGACATCCCATTCTTTAATTTTGCTCTCGTTTTTCTTTTCGTTCTCGTTTTCATTGCTATTCTTTTCTTTTTCCGCTTCATTTTAATTTATATATGTATATGTGTGTATATACATATTGATATAGGACGATAAATTAAATAAAAAAGAAATTTGTATACAAGGTTGTATTGTATATACTTTTCGTTAATGTTAACAACTATTTACATAAAGAATATTTAAAATGAATGATATTTAATATTTTAACAATTTCTATCGTTACTCATGCTCTATTAAATAAAGCAATTCAATAATCATGAATTGACAAACATTTTTTCATCGAACAAACGAGTATTATAATATATATTTATATGATTTATTCATTTTTATTAAAATTAATAAGTAAAACTTAGGAATTGATATTTTTAATTAACAATAAGAATATTGTACTAATAATCATCTTCCAAAAAGAACTAACATAATGAATATTGAGTGTCATTGAATTATTTTTTGCACATGCTCCACTATTCCCACGACATTGTAATTGTCCCGTACAATATCGAAATTGATCTCCACATTTTAAATCGATTGTTCGTTTTGTTGGTATCCATGTACCTGTACAATTTGTATAAAAATCCGTTTGAGACCATTGTAGGGATACTTGTGTTTGCTGTCCATTATTAACCAATGTTGCTTTTCCACGTGCTACTAATGTAGTGTAAAGATAGGTTACTGCCAAATCTCCATTTTGATTTTGATTAATTTCATAAAACGAAGGCTCTAAACATCTTAGAACAGTACATGCACAGTTTGTAAAATTATAGAACCCTGATAAATCTTGAATAGCTGCTGTATTAACATTTATTTTTGTAAAAATCATAAGAAAGAAAAACATCAACATGGTGTCACCGGTATTGAATTAAAGTTTAAACTTAGATCTATTGATATCTATGATAATCTTTTATAGTATAGAGATACTAGATATACTTGGTAAATATCAATGTGGGTTGCACAGAATAATACTAATGATTCAGCAGTGATTTAAACCCAAAGACTGCGTAGGTTTCTTATTCAAATTTAAAAAGGTCACACTGACTATTTATGTTGTTTGGTGAATACTCTTTACATATTTATGATTATTCATTATTACATTTATTTTACATCAAAATAGGCAAGTATTTTAGTAATCATTGATAAATCTAAACTTCCTCTTTTTTTAAATTATTATTTCTTTTATCTATTTATTTGATTACGTCGAAAGAAAAGAAATAATTGTTATTAGCTGTAGAGAATCCAATGAATATAGAGATTATGACGAGATTTATACTAGAAACAAGGACATAACGGTGGAATTTGCGCTTTTGTTTCTGTTTGTGTTACTTATTCTTCTTATTCTGTCGTTTATATATATATAAACAGAGTAATAATGATATGTGGATAAAGAACGAACAAACAATTTTATGCTAATTATAGAAACAAAACTAATCTATTAAAAATTAACAAATACAAAAATTCATAATGAAATTAAAAAATTTCTTTCAAAAAATACAATTTTAATTGTATAGAAAAAAATTGAGAATATTTTTCGAGTCATTTAAATAAATTATATAGAAAAATAAATAGTTTTAATTCTCTAATCTAATATAAAAATCTATAACTGAGTCTTGACATACTTTTTCTTTTCTTCAAAAATAATATTTCCTTATGAACTGTATACAATTTTATTGTCAACTAGCGACATCAATAGTAATAAAAAATTGGATAAAAAATAGTCGATATATTTTTTTTATTAAGAATATCTTTGATTGATTAATATAAAATCAATTAAAATCCAAGTTATAATCGAATGATATAAATTCTCTAAATAAATTGACCTTGTTGATAATATTTATAGTATGGCCGCAACTTGTTGTTTGTTCTGATGTTGTTTATTTAGTCTTTTCTTGTCTCTATAGAAGATATCTCTTTCAATATGTCCATCCAATGTGAATAATAAATTTGATTAATGTTAAGTGGAATAAATCCATCACCATCAGACGAAGTCAATCGTCAATCGAGTGCAATAGCTAAACGTCGTGAACAATTACGTCGTTGGGATGAATCAGAAACAAATCGAGAATCATCAAATGTTAAAATCTCTCAACGTGTCAAATTTCAACAAGCATATGTTTTCTTAGCTGCATGTTCATCATCAGATCGTGATGAAGTTGAAAAATTATTACAACGTGGAGTTGATATAAATACATCAAATATTGATGGACTCACAGCACTTCATCAAGCTTGTATTGATAATAATTTGCTCATGGTAGAATATTTGCTCAATCGTTCTGCCGATATAAATTGTCAAGACAATGAAGGATGGACACCTTTACATGCAGCATCATCTTGTGGAAATATTGATATTGTTAAATATTTATTATCTCGTGGTGCTACTGTTGATGTTTGTAATAATGAAGGTGAATTACCAATTGATATAGCTGAAGGTGATGATATAATTGCTTGTTTGGAAGAAGATATGAGAAGAAAAGGTATTGATGATGAACAAGCAAGAAATATTGAACATCAATTAATGCTTAAACATGCACAAGATTGGTTAAATAATAATCAAAAAACTAATTCGAAATCTTTACCAGAAACTATTGTACATGCAAGAACGGGTGCTACTGCTTTACATGTTGCGTGTGCGAAAGGATATTTAGATGTTATTGAGTATGTTTCAATAGATAGAAATATAGATATATGAATTATATTCTTTTAGTATTTTATTACGTGCTGGTGCAAATATAAATTCAGTTGATAATGATGGTTGGACACCTTTACATGCAGCTGCACATTGGGATAAACATGATATTATTAAATTTCTTTTGGAAAGAAATGCAGATTTAGATTCAAAAAATTTTGCAGTAAAAACAAAATGAAGAAATTTTTTGAAATAATTTTTATTGAATTAATTTAGGGTCAAACACCGCTGGATGTATGTGATGGTGTGACATATGAATTATTAAAAGAATTAAAAGAAAAACGACCTCCTGTAAAAGTAAATAATTAAATTGATTTAGTTTTTTAAAATATTAAATTCAATGACTTTTTTTAGTCACCTGTTAATGAAACGCCAGATAATATTCTTGCACCATGGAAAAGAAAGTATGTTTTTAGAAAAGAAAAACTAGATTTTTTTGAAAATAATTTATTTTAGACCTACATCTACTCGAACAGTAGATGAACATAAATCAATTCTTCGAACTGAATCACATAATGAGAATATAGGTTAGTTTTTATTTTTGATCAGATTGATTGATTTATTTATTTTATTTGTTTTTAATAGAAACAACGAACAAAATACCTCCACAGGTAGAATTCTTTTTTAACAAAAAAAGGAATTTTTATAAAATGCATGTGCTTCTATATTATTTAGTCTTGCTTACCCTCATCTTCCTTACCATTATCAGTCAATCCTAATTCTGTTGATGAGAATTTACCCAATTGTTCGCCTAGTATAAAGGTTGAAAATTTGAAAAAATAAATAAATTTAATATTTAATATTTTTAATTTAGGAGAAATTAAGTAGTCTACAACGATCATTACATGATTTAAGTAATCGATATTTAAAAACAAATCAAGAAGAGGTAAGAATGAAATTCTATTGAAAATGACATTACTGCGTATGCAGCATGAATGCATTTATTGCTTGTGCATGATGAAAAGCTTCAATTTATTTATTCTCTTAGCCACCAAATGCATCAACACCGAATAATAATTCAACTAATAATGATCTGAATAAATCTAATACATCTTCTTATGATCAACGAACAGCAAAACCATCTTTTGATAAATTAGTATCTAATTCAACTACAACATCAACAACAACAACACCAACAACAACAACGAGTCGACCAGCACTTTTATCAACAAATAAATATTCAATATCAAATTCTCAACGAACATTTACAAATCCACTTCAATCATTAACAGCAAATAATAATAATATTAATAATGATTTATCCAGTCGTGTAAGATATTATATTAAAAGAAAAGAAAAGAAAAGAAAAATAATTGAATATCGCTTTGCATGAAAATTAATCGATGCATGTCGATAACAATCTTTCTATAGACAAAATATCAATTAACTAATAAAATATTTCAAAACAATTCTTTCTTTTTTTCTTCTCTTCATAGGAGAATTCAACAGGAAATATCGCTTCATCTCCAACTCAATCATTGGATACTAAAATCAATCGAAGGTAAATTATAGATTGTTTTTATCACAATTTTTTTTCTTTTACATAATCAAATAAATTTTTGCCGATCTTATCGAATAAATAAATAAATAAATATATACAAGAGTTAGTTGAATGCGATGATACTATTTTATATAATTTTAGTTCCAGTGAGACACAGCCTGAGGTGGCACCGAGAAGGTATTCATTTTTTTTCTCCTTATATCTTCTATCACAAAACCTGATATTAATCAACACATTATCTAATCAAACTTCTTTCTCACAAATAATACCCATAACCTAACACATTTTTATTTGCACAGAATAGATCTATATACATAATAAATCTAATTCAGGACAAAAAAGGATTATCTCTTTTTTTTTTGTAAAATGCATGTTTTTATTTTTTTAATTTAATTTTTATTTTCTAAATAAAATTTGTTATTTAGATGGGGTACAACGGATCGAACAGTGGGTGATGGAACATTAACAACACCAAATAATACAGGTCCATATGTTCGTCGTCGATCAGGTGCTGGTGTTAATGAACCAACACCAATACCGACATCGACACCTACACCAACACTAACAACCCCATCAGTACCAGTATCAGTGCAAGCATCAGTACCACCTCCTCCTCCAACAACATCAACAGTCGTTAGTGTAACAACATCTCTTCCATCTGTAACATCAACTCCAACAACAAATGTAACAGTAACATCATCATCAAATCCACTTGATGATTCAACTGGTGGAAAACGACGATCAAATGTTCCACCAAGTCGTGATGAAGAAGCTGAAGCACAACGTAAACATCGTTCAGCACAAGCACGAAGAGAACGACGTTCAACACAAAGTGTTACTGTTGAAGATATAAAAGCAGCTGAACAACAAATAAAAAGTCAACCAAATACAACTGAAACATCTACATCAACAATCACAACAGTAACAATTCCACAACCAGTAGCCAATATTATTGAAACAACATCTAATGTAACGTTATCAAATAATAAAATTGGTGCACCATCAACGCCATCAATAGTTGCTGAACATGATATTGAAACTGAACGTTTACAACGTGTTATTGAAGAGAAAAAAGAAAAAGCAAGAAGATTAAGTGGAAACGAGGTAATATTGCTTTGATATGTTTAACCTTGATTCTATCTTCATGTTTTCTTTACTCAATATGCTCTCTTTTTTTTTCTTTTGTTTATTTGTATAATCGACTATGATTACCAATAGCCATACGCTTTCAATTATAAAAACTCCAGGGTTAAAAAAAGGAAGATAAGAAATATGCATCTATAATCATAGAATAGAAACACAAAAAAAAACTGAGATGAAGAAATATTTCAACTTTGAGTCACTTAATGATGTTTCGCTTTTGTCATCGGAGTTTTTATATATATATTCTCCTCTCGATTTGCGACGATGTATCTATTATTTTTTTCCTTTCATCACATTCATCTCGAGAGTCTATAAATACGTACGAAGTACATATATATATGTATATATGTAATAATTCAGTATCTTTTATATGCGTGCGTATGTGTATATGTATTTGTTCTCGTTCGTTGCTTGTTCTATGTAATACTTTGTTCTCTTTCTTCTAATATATATATAAACATATTATTGATAGGATACTATTGAGACGACTGTTGACGCATCTTCATCCTGTGGATCACGTCGACTACGATCGAGATTTACATCTGCGGATACTGACAGTAAGGAAAAAACAAAAAAAAATAGTCTGTTAATCTTGTCGTATTCCGATAGATATTGTCCCATCAATCACAGCTAACGATTCATTGAATCTTGGTGTTAGTGGTTCGTTAGATTCACAACAGCAACAACAACAACCACGACGACGAACAAATCGTGTACATAATCAGAGAAAAAATACTGGAAGAATCATTTGGAACGACGTACGTTTATTAGTTTGTTCTTTACTCGTTAATCGATTTTGAAACAAGAAATTTCTTCTTTTTCTTTTCACAGGAAACAAAAGAAGTTGAAATTCGTGATGATACAAATGATTTAGTTCCAAAAACATCTTATCAACAAGCATCAAGTGAAGAATCTCATCGATCCGACGATCAAAAATTACAAGATAACGCTCAACAACATACAACATCTAATAGTGGTTTACTTGGTTCACGTGGTCTTATCTCTCGATTTGAAAATACTCCATCATCAGCATTATTAACAACTAAAGAATCTTTAGCAAATCTATCACCAACATCTCCACCACCCACATCAACTTCATCAACAACACGAAATATTCGTTCTCAAAGTCAAGATCCATCACGTAAAACTTTAACATTAACGACTTCTTTACCACAATCAAATCCAAATACTATTATGAATGGTATGGCTACATCAACACCATTTGCATTAAAAAAAGATTCTAAAGAAAATACTGCACTATCATCAACAGGAACATCAACAACAAATAATGATACATCAGCTGTGAAACGAGTAAAAAAGAAATGATTAATTTCAATTTTCAAAAATATTTTTTCTATAGTTACATGATGATTCTAAACGTAAAATGGATGAATTAACACAAAAAGTAGATCGATTAGAACGAGATATCGCTGAAAGAGATCAAATCATTGAAAAACTCGTATGTTATACAGTTTTTATTTAATAAAAAACAAAAAACAATTTCTCATTATTTTTAGAAAACATCACAGTATATCGAATCATCACTTGATAAACGAGTAAGCTAATTGTCTTATCTATCTATCTATCAATATAAATACTTATACAAACTAAAAAAACAAATTTTGTAAATATCTCGAAACTGATTTTCAAGGTCATATATTAGAAAAATTCCTTTTTATATCAGAATAGATAAGAACTATAAAAAATAATGTAGACAAACAAGGACAATATATCTATATTAAAGAGATATATAATTTGTTAGAGTATTTTTCACTTATATCAATCTGTCATATTAGTTCTATAGACAGATGTGTAGTAGTGGTGTTAGCTTCGAGTTCGAATATCTAGGCTCTTATTTTTTATGAAAACATTATGTTTTTATTTGGATTATTCTTTTTTTATAGGAAAAACGAGCATATGAAAGAAAAATATCTGAATTAGAAGAAGAGTTGAAAGTAAGTGAAAAGAGATAAAAAAAAGAAAAGATTTATTAAAGGAAAATTCTTCTTATATAATTTAGAAAATGGACTCAATCAAAGCAGATAATACACGTTTAAAAGAAGAAAATGCTGCATTGATTCGTGTTATCAGTAAACTTTCGAAATGAAAACAAAACAAATAAAAAAAAAACATATGTTTTTCTTTTGTGTGCGTGTGCTCTAGAGTGCTTCTTTTTTCTTCTTCTCTTTCTCTCGTGTTGTTGTGCAATAGAGCCTTTCGTTTGTCATTTCTTTTTTTTTGTATTACTCTAAATACTACTTATATATATATATATTTATATATATATAACTTTAGTCACTTGGTGCTACGGATATTGAGACGCACTGGCAAAACAGTGAGACAAAAGGAGAAAAAGGAAGGTTTTGCTTTGAAGTCTCGTTATATGTGTGAAAAAAATGAACATTTGTTTATCTTTCTTCTATTTCTCATTTGAATAATAATAATAATAATATAATATATATATAACAGACACGTCATTAAATACGAATTCTTATTAATACTACATTTTGAACTTCAGAATGTAATGTTTTTTTCTTTTCTTTACTTTTTCTTCTCATCATCATCATCATCTTTCTCGTGGATTTATTTCATATATTGTATGCCTTAGACACAAATTCGAGAGCGTGTGTGTGTGTGTGTGTGTCTCTTTCTCACATTTTTGTCTTCTCTCTCTCTCTCTCTCTCTCTCTTTCTCTCATGTATTTTATATCTCGCTTCTTTTTTTTTCGTTTTTTTTGCAATCAAAAAATACAGCACACGCACACACATTTAATTATAAAGGAAATAATACAAATAATAAAAGAAAATTTTCTCTTTTTGCAGAATATTAAAATTCTAAAGAAATAAATTGAGCTTAAATGTCTGGTGAAGAGAATAATTCAAATGATGAATCAATAACAAAACCGGTATGTTTATATATACATATGTATATATTATTCTTGTTTGTTATTTAATTAGTTAATAGCAGAAACAAAAATATGTTCCATTTGTTTATTGAGTGGAAGGTAAAAATCAAAAATTAATTTTATATTAAAAAAAACAAAAATCGAAATTTTCTATTTAGTACAGATGATAATGATCCAATTGTTTATTGTGATCGATGTGGAGTGATTGTTCATGAAAGTAAATAAAAGAAATATTTTTATTAATTTGATTTATTAATTAAAAGATAATATTAGGTTGTTATAATGCAGATACATTAGATGATAAATCATCAGATTCATCTTCACCATCAGAATATTGGTTTTGTACACCTTGTTTAGCACATGTTGATGATCCAGTAAGATAATATGTTTTGATTAAGATAAATTAGCTTTCTTTTTTTGTATATCTATTTCTAGACATGTGCTTTATGTCCTACAAAAGATCGTTGTAATGCATTTTGGCCAACATTAGAATCAACATGGATTCATGTTGTTTGTGCTCTTGGAGTTCCAGGTATTTTATATTATGATGAACTTTATTACACACCTGTTGATTTATCAAATATTTCTTCACAAAAATTTGGAAATAAAGTTGAAGAAATTTTTTTTTATTAATTAAAATTTTAATTAATTAATTTTTAGCCATGTCATATATGTGAATCACGATCAGGTGTAACAGTTTCATGTGATGCGGGATTATGTCCAAATGCATTTCATTTATCATGTGCAAATAAAAATGGTTTGTTACAAATTAGAGGAGAACTGGTTAGTTTAAATATTGATAAAAACTTATTTGAAATGTAACTAAATCGAATGTCAACAAAATGACTTTTAATAACAAGAGTATCACAAAGGGAAATAATTCATAAAAACACATACGATAGTGACGTAGTCACCGGGGAAGCTACGAGAAGTTGAGCTTCGCCTAGATCGAAATCCTGACTACGCTCACACTTAGCTTCTTTTATCACTATTTATGTGTTTGTATATTATCCGAATGAGGAAATGGTTTTTTTTAACGAATATTAAAATCTATCAATTCTTATTTTTAGATAAAAGTTAACTATATAAATTCTTTTTCTTTAGTCAAAAATTGAATGTGAATTATATTGTGTTACTCATCAATCAATATCAGGTACATATAAAACAGTGCAAAGAAATTATACAATATGTGAAGTACAACAAAAGCAATTAGATCATCGAGATCAATTAACTGTAAATTAATATTATGTTTAAAATTTCTTTCGAAAATTTCTTTTATTTTAGGAAGATTCTCTTCAAACATTAACGAATTATTGGTCGATATATAAAAAACGTAGTGAAACATTTCCAAGATTACCAAAACCAAGTAAAACTCATATTGCAAGGTATAATGAAAATATAAAAATTTATTTTGATTAAAAAATCTTTTTCTAATATTCAAAACAGATCTTTAATGGTTGATCCAGTAGCATTAAAAAGTTTTTTTGACAAAGCTCAACGTCTTCGTCCTAATCAATTAACAACATTACCAAATAATCTTGATTTAACATCAACAGATACCAATGCACTTCTTGCATTTACAGCAAATGAAGAAGAATTAACACAAATTCGGGAACGTATAGCTGATGCAGAAACAAAACTTAATCAATTAGAATCATCTTCTATTGATAAACAATTAAAAGAAGAACATAAAAAAGTAAGTAGACATTTTTATTTTACAAAATTTAACTTTTTTTTTGATTTCTTTAGTTAGAAACTGAACTTAAAAAAGAATATGAAACATTATCTTCATTAACTGATCGATATAATGAATATATTGAATTATTTAAACTTTATAATTGTCAATTAAAAGATGATACAACAAATCAATTATTAAATATTAAATCTCCACAATTATCTTCAACAATATCAACAGAAACTGATTGGTATAAGATTAGATTTTGTTTTTTTTTGTCAATATTAAAAAATAAGAAATTATTGTTTAGTTGTTCTGTTTGTAAACAAACTGATCAATCAAATCAAATGATAAAATGTTGTCAATGTCATTTAGCATTTCATGGTGATTGTTTAACACCACCAATGCCTGCTAAAACATTATCAGTTATGTTATCAGCTAGTAAAAAATATGATTGGTATAAATTTTCTTATTCTTATTAATCGAAATTGATTTTTTTTTCTTTTTATCAAATAAAAGGCAATGTGCTTCATGTGTCAATGCACAACAAGAAGAACTTGATCAATGTAATGTTAATATTGATGAACCTCGTCAGATACGTCCTAGACGTACAAATGAACTTGTTCTACGTGAAACAGTTATTAAAGTAAATTATTAATTAACAATTTTCAATTTATTCGTTGTTCCTTCATTTAGTTTGGTTCAAGAAAAAGAAAAAATGAATCAAATTCAAATAATGGTAATGAACAAACGGCAGATAATAAAAAATCAAAAATAACTAACGATGAAACAAATAATACTTCATCACCATCGTCAAAAGAAATAATTAGTCAAAAACAAGATGATAATGAAAAACCAAGTACGAGTAAAAGTCGAACATCGGTTATTAAAAAATTATTTACTAGAAAAACAACAGATTTTACTCCAGAACCAACTCCAAAACGATCGTCTTCATCAACAAAAAAAAGGTTAATAATATTTTCATTAAACATATTATTTTCATTTGTATATATTCTTTCATTTAGCTCTCCTAATCAAAAGTCTCCACGAATATCAATCAAAAAACCATCAGTATCAAAATCTAATAGTAAATACGAAATAAAAAACTGAATATTGATTAATATTAATGTTTGCCTAGATTCATCAGCAACTCCAGCTCGATCAAAATCATTGATTATTGAACGTCGAACTCCAACAATATTTAAACAAAAAGCTGCATCACTTCCAATGACAAAACCTGAAAAGAAAAAACGTAAAACAATGAAAGATCCAATGTCAATATTTGATTTTGATGATGATGAAGAAAATGCAAATGGTACTGTTGAACTTCGTTCATCAATAACATTGAGTAATGATGATGAGAATAATGAAAAAGAAATTGAAAAACCAAAAAAAGAAGTTAAAAAGCCAAATCGACGTTCAGCAGTAACAATTCAAAATAATGTTCCGTCAGATGCTCGATGTAAAGAATGTTCAAATTCAGGAACAAATCAAACAATGACTGAGTACATTTTTAATTTCAATTTTAAAAACAGAAAACAATATCTTTTATTTTCTAGTTGTGATAAATGCAAAATTTTTTATCATTATGCTTGTTGTGTTCCACCTTTATCCTCTTTTCCTAAACGACGTAATTATGGATGGACATGTCATCGATGTAATGATGATTCGACTGAACATGATACATCGAATGAAATGACAACTAGTCCACCATCATCAAAGGTTAATTTTTGAAATATTTTATTATAGGAATAAATTTAATTTGATTTGTTTTTTCTTTTTTTGATAGAATGCAAGACGAGAACGTAAAAGTCATAATCGATCTAACGAAAAAGAAGCGTTAGTTAACGAATAAATATTTATATCTATATCTATATATGTATCTCATTTAATATGTTGTCATGTATTGTGTTATTTTTTCTGTTTACTTAATATTAAAATTGATGTTCGTTTGAAGAAAATTACAATTCATTCGAAAAAAATTTTTTTTTAAATTAAATTTTAATGAATTTATGATAGTTGTATTGAAAGAGTTCTTGTTTATTTCTTTGTTGTCCTCAGATAAATAAATCTGAGAATTAAATGTAAATCATTTCTATTAAGATTCTAAACATTTGAAATAATACTACTAGTATAAACACAACGCCATGATCGAGGTTTTTTCGATGAATTAATTATAATTATAACGGCAATTGATATTGGACATAGATCAATAAAAATAATTGAAAAAAGTGTTAAATATATTAATTCCATAGATGATGATGTCGGCCACCATAAGTAATAGTAAGCTTGAATATGACCTATAAGTACATATTATACATGTACAAATCAATTCATTATTTTTTTTAATCTTACCTAAAATTATAAAACTAATTAAGCTAATAATCAACAGGAGTTGTATAATATAGATTAATTTCAATGGAAATATATTTTGTTGTTTTAAATTATCAATAAATAATGATAAAATAAGAATAAGTGATAGAAATGAAAACCATATATCTTCAATTCGAATTGAATAATGAATCGCTTGATTCAGACATAGAGCTATTGTAAAACAAATAAAGATTGTAATATAGATCAGTTTAATGAATACAATCCAATGATGAATTTCTAAAATATTCAAAAATATAAAAAAACGAAGAGCATGAATTGATAAATCATTTGCGAACTTTCTTTTTTTTGACGATATAAAAATCGATGTTGTGTATTTCGTGATAATTTGAATTGTTTATTTCTAGCTGTAACAAAACCAAACATGATAATCGAATATTTGAAGTAATCATCAATACTAAAATTACTTTCTCATTGTTATTCAAAGAGAGAGAGAGAGAGAGATCAAAAGATTTGAAAAGAGAATGAATAAATTTTAACTTCACTGGTCAATTGATAGGAAGCTTTGACTAGAAGAAAGAATATACATGTCTAAATCTCCTGCTGATAGAATCAATTATTGATTACCTAATATCTCATATAAAAGAAAATTTAAAAAATAATATAGATTTCAATGTCTTTTATTTCAACTAAGACCATTACATTACATGCTATTCGTAACTCACACCATTGATCAAATGTATTATAATATCAGATTATGATGATTTGACTACATTTCTTTAGTTCGTAAGTGTTATAGCTTCCAGGCATGATTTGATTCAATGAATAGTTTATTTACATAAAAAATAAAAAATCTTATGTTTTTATTCAATTTGAATATGATTTTTTTCAAGATACTCTTGTACTTTTAAAGCACGAATATCCTGATTGCTAACTATCGCTAAATTTCCATCATTTAATGAACATATTCCAAAACTATTAACTTCAATTGATATTACATATCGTTCATAAGTACAACAATGAATAAAATGACTTTTCGGATCATTTATAAACAATAATAATTGACTTTCACTATGGGAGCTAGCTGATTCCGATGGTCTATATAAATTTAGAAAACAAACGTAAAATAAAAACAAGAAAGAAAATGAATATTACTTAATTATTGAAATAATTGATAATGGTTGTTTAGCATCAACTAAATCAAATGAAGAAATTTGATTAATATCATGATCATTTATAATAAGCATATATCGATTGGATTTTTTTATTTGAGTTAAGAAAGTAATAAATGTATTATTAACAGTAAAATCAATAATATCATAAGTTAATTGCTCATAATCATCATGAAGAATATTTTTAAATTGTATTGATGGAAAGAAAATCGATTCATCGAAATTATATCTTCCAAAATGAATATCTTTTGATGATAAAGTATATAAAAAAAATAAATTATTCTCATAAATATGTCCATTTATAATAGAATTGATTTTATTATTTTCATGAGTTAATTCAAATTGTTGATCAATTTCTATTTTTTGTTCATTTAAATGAAATAAACAAAAATAATGTGTATGTTTACTAATTAAATAGAAACAACGATGGTTTATAGAATAATCCAAATTAATTAATGGTTCTTTAAAAGGTAAATCAATAGAATTTATTTCACGTGTTCGAAGTGATAAATATTCTAATTTATGTAATACCAATGAATAAATAAGTAGTGAATGTTCATGGATATTATAAGCCATTAATCGTGAATGACGATTACTTTCATAAGGAATTCTAAACGAAGTATTAACCATATTCTTAACTTCTCTATTTCTTGAAACAGGACGTGAAGGTAATTCTAATGTTGTTGTTGTCATCGCTGGATTATTTCTATATAAAAATAAAATCTGTACAAATATGGGAAAGAAAATAAATTTACTGAATTATCGAAGTCATTGGAACACATAAAGACGATGTTTCAGGTAGTATTTGATCATGATTTAATAAACTATAAACAATAGAATTACATACAGAAAAATAAATATTAAACTACTTTTGATTAGAATTTGAAGATTGATCTTGTTCAATTAATAATTGTTCATGAAAAATAATTGGAGATGAACCACGATCAACTTTTAGAATTGATTCACTAAAAAGAAAGTAATTCACTTTTGTATTAATATGCATTGTTCAACTGACTTATCATTATTAATAATTTTTTCTGTATGATTTGTTGGTAATTTTTGTTTAATAAAATAATCAATTTGCATATCTTGGAAATTAAATTCAGGAATATTTTTTAACATATTTGGTCTCATTGGAAATGTTCCTTTAAATTCATTAAATTTTCTTAAAATGTTTTCTTGATTATTTTCCAAAGTTTTTAGAAAATAATTTAAATTATTAAATTGTTGTTGATTCTCATCACATGTTTTTTTATTTTCATGTTCAAGATATTGAAATTTATCTTCATATTCTTGTTTTACATCATTTAATTGTTTTATTAATCGATTAATATTATCAAAGAAACTTGTACGAGTTAAATTCAATTTATCATTAAATGAAATATGATCATTTCTAAGTTCAGTTTCATAAATTTGTAATTGAGTGTCTATGTCCAAAAACATATTGTGATACAGATCTTTTGTGTAAGAAAAATGAAGTATAAACACGAGATTTATTTTATATCTACACTAGAAATAAGTAGAACGCATATTGTTAATGGAGACATGCAAATAAATAAAAGAGAAAAGAAGAAAAAAATGTTACTATGCCCTTTATTGTTTTTAATTTAATCGAACATGTAGTATCAACACGTGGCTATAACAATAATATATTTCTTATAAACTTCTCGTTTGTGAAAAACAGAATATTTAAAATCGTTAGAATTTAATGAATGACTTTTATAAAAAAAAGCGATAAGATTTATATGTTATACGACATCTAGAAAAGTTAACTTTTAACTTTATTAATCTTTGACGATATTTCATCGTGAGATAAACATTAATCTATAACTACTTCATTTTACAGTACAATTATAAAACATTATTTAATAGATTTCTTTGAAATTCATAATAATAACTTAAGTATGAAAGATGAATAGACATAGTGAATACTTCATTTCCTATACCTTCTATATGTTTTAACATCTCTTCTTGGTTCTCGTCGTTTTTTTGGAACAATTAATCTTATTAAATTTATTCGTTTTAATAAATCATAAATATTATTTGTTCAAACACTTAAATATGTTATAAAAGAACTTTTTTCATTTTCATTTATGTTTTCAATTATATTTATGTCTTTTCTTTCATTATTCTATTTATTATTTACTTCAGCTATTCAATCATGTTCAAGTTGATTATCAACAACTCAAATGTTATTTGAAATCACATTAATGAGTTTCAATGCAAGCAATTTTACTGGAGCTGATCCAGTTCTTAGTCCATTTAGTTTTTCACTTTTTATTATTATTGCTGTCTTTGTATGTTTAAGTATGTTTCTTTCAATAATTAATGATGAGTTTCATCATGTTGAACAAAATTCAATTGAAAATCAACAAATTTTATTATATATGTTAAAGTAATTTTTAAATTAGACACGTCAAAATATTTTATAGATCTAAAGAAAAATTATTTATAAAAATGATCATACTTTTAATTTAAGAAATTTTCTTTGTTTGCTTCTTTATCATGTTTCGATTTGAGATCTTTTAATTCTTGTTTTTTCTCCAATGTTCACGTTTTTCAAGTGTTGTACATGATTTAGTTTGTCGATAATTATAATTCTAAACAAAATTTTTATTTGATTAGATCGAAAAAATATTTTACATACTCGAAGAATATTTTGAAATTGTCTACGAAGTTTTATTATATGACGACGGGTAATTGTATCCGAATTACATTGAGGAAAACTAAAATAAGGTGATTGAATACTTAATTTATTTACATTTTTTTAACGAATCTTATTTTCGTTCATTCTCTTACTTGAAAAATATAAGCAAAAATAAGCATTTTCCCAATAGAACCATCAACAGGAATTTGAGCAAGCATTGATTCAATTTTGATGTTGATGAGAAATCCATTGTTGATAAAGCTACTTGTTATTAAAGACGAAGTACAGCACTATCAATAGCTGTCATATTCGTTGATTCAACAAATGAAAATCTAGTTTGAAAAATAATTATATAAAAAATATTTTTTTAATTTATTTTTACTTTCTTTTAGATCTTTTAAACCTATAGAAATCACTTATAACATAAGAGCATTCAATATTATACGTAGTCGACGTTCTTGAAATACTAAAAAAAAGAATTAATTAATTTTCATTCGATTTTTAAAAGATATGGAGTAAATCGAGGGTGAAAAGGGAATACAAAGGAGATGACATTCGGCATCTCTTTATAATTACATAATAAAGATAAATAAGAAAATTAAGATCGATATATACAAGAATGGACATAACTGGTAGAAAAGACAGACATATACGTAAACTAGTAGAAAAGAGGAAAAGAAGAATAATCAACGCGTGTATACAACGAACAATGAATCATGAAAGAAAAAAGATATAGTCAGTGTGCTCTCTAACACATACTATATATATTCGAGTAAAAATAGTAATTAACATCAGATCATCTTCTTTTCTTTAAATTTTTTACTGCTGTCGACCACCATAGTGAAAAATGAACGGCTCTGTGTTGGTTACAGAGGCCATACATGCAGCCATATTTAGGGAAGCAAACAACGCTGACCCTGTGATTCAAGCTGCAAAGGTGAGTCAAAATTTTCCCATGCCAAAAGGATTGATTGAATATTTATATAAAATCTTCTGTTTTAGCTTTTAAATAAATGTCCGGGCTGTACCACCTATCCTAACTGCAAGCCCTGTATGAAAGCCCAGTATCAAACAGAAGAGATCGAAGCATGTGCCCGCATCATCAAGAGTGCTAATTATCAACGCCTCAAATTGAATCCCGAATTCATGGAGAAGAACGTAAGTAAAGTTAGCAGCAGATTCGAGTATTCCTTGCTGACATT